GGGGGCGAGGCCGCCGGCGGGCCAGCCTCCTCTACACACCCCCTCCCTCCGCAGCAGGGGAAAGGGGACGCACCGCCCAGGGGGCCGGGCTCCTGGATCGCTGCCGCCAGAACCCGCAGGGCGGGGCGCTGTCCCACCGTGGGGCCCGGGCGGGGAGGGGGCGGGGGTGCTGGGACTGAAGGAGGGAGCCGGACACGAGCGCAGTGAACCACTTTATTGCATGCATTTTGGGGAGTGGAGAGTCCCGGGAGGGAACACAGCAGGCCCCATCCAGGTGAGTTGCTCATGGGCTGGTGCCTGGGGGCACTATCCCTGGGTCTGGGGGAGGCCCGGGTGGTGGCTGCAGCTGCTGCCTCTGCTGTTGCTCCTGCTGGAGCCTGGCTTTGTTGGCCCTGCAGGAGAGAGCACCGGTGTGACTGGGACAGGGATCCTGGAGGGTGGTGCCAGGACAGTGAAGAGAGGGCAGGGTAGAGCAGGGACAGACCTGGCCCGGGCCCGTGTGTCATTGTAGATGGCTGTGATGATCCGATCCTTTTCATCCATGAAGCTACGGTGCATCTGCTCCAGCTTCCTGCACGGGGATTACAATTAACCCTGGGCCCCCCAAACCCTGCTGTCCCCCAAGTCCCACCCCCTGCACCCTACTCTAGGGTCTCACAGCTTTACATCTGCAAGGACCTCAGCCTAACTGCCTGTGTTAGGCAGGGAGAGGGACACATAGAGGCCAGGCATGTCCAGGGTCCAATGGCTACCCAAGTCCCCGGCTGTCCTGCTGACGGTGATGACAACAGCACTGAACATCAGGGTGGTCCTCGCAGGAGATTAGAAAGGGTTGTATGTGCAACTCCATCACTGAACTAGGCAGGCTGCTAGCAGTGGGCATTGCACTGCCTTTAAGTATCTTTGCTGTAGAACCTCTGTTATGGCATGCATGAGAGAGGGGCGGGGTGACAGCTGGTTGCCAAACAAGTGAAAACGGTTGCTGGTAGGGCCTAGTTACAATGCATTTCTTTCTTCTGTATGATTTTGGTTGGCTCCACCACTCCATGGTAGCCAGCACCAAAGATTTACATTCAAATTATATATAAAAAAAAAACACCCTGAAAACATTAGCCCTTAGTGCAAAGCTGTCCGCTACGTGAGGAAATGCTCTGGTGACGTATTTCTTGCAAGTCTTAGCTGGAGAGACACAAATGCAGGCCACAGGGGTGGTGGGATGGCTGGCTGACCACACTGGGCTTTATCCCCCCACACCCCTCCCTCCGGCAGAGATGCACCTGAAGGCAGCATAGTGCAGGCCCATGCCTGCCAGCATGATCAGGAGGCAGTACCCTAGCACACGCTGGTTGTGTCTGTGCTGCTGCTGCCTTGATTCTGGTCGCTGAGGCCTCACGCGATGAAACTGGGCCCAGTATTGTGCATTGGGGGTTGTCCAGGAGCTGCTGGGAGGGAGAAGAAGGGACAGTGTGGGATGAGGCACCCTAAGAGACTTGGTGGCGGGCAAGTTAGCAGCAAGATACAGTACCTGTGTGTTTGATGAGCAGACCTGGGATGGGCTGTGGTTCCTGGAGACTTTGGGGGAGTTGCCCAGCGGAGCTGGTCGTCGTAGTTGCGGCGACTCTGCTCCCGGCTAAGCACTTGGTATGCTTCGCTCAGCTCCACAAAGCGGCTGTGCAGGGCCGGGTTCCCAGGGTCTCGGTCAGGGTGCAGCTAGGGTGGGGCAGGACTCCCCTCATCTCCCTTCCCATGTCTCTTCCTAGGACCCATCTTGATAATGTCCACCCACAAGGGCTCAAATCATTCCCAGAGGCCCTGTCTGGGCAGTGACTCTCACCTTCAGGCCAGCCACCCCTCTGAAGGCCAGAGAGTCAGGAAGCACTCCTGTCCCCTCCCCACCTGCTTGTTGCTTGGCTCTCACTATATGCCCTGGTCCAGGCTTTCTCAAGAGAACCAAGCCCAGCCCATCAAACCGGGGCTTTCCTCCCCCAGCCAGGCCAGACATCTGCCCTTGGGGGACCTCCCCCTCCATATGCATGCTGCTGATGGAAAGTAGCACCAACTAGAGTGAGCCACTCAGCTCCATTCCTGGGAATTTGGAGCCCATCTGGCTCAGACTTCCCCTCCCACTTCCCTGCCTAAGACCACTGGTACCTCTTTGGACTTGGAGAAGAAAGCTCGTTTAACTTCTTCAGGGCTGGCACCAGGATGCACCCCCAACAGTTCATAGTAGTTACTGGGGCCAGACCTGTGGAGAGAGGACAGAACTTGTAGGGGCGAAGGAAACAGAGGATAGCCCTTCCCTACCCCTCCCAGCCTCCCTGGGCCACACCCTTCAACTCAGCAAACCAGTAGCTGAGGGGGCTGAGGCCAGTACCAAGGGAGATCTATCGCCAAATCATCCCTCCTTTTTGAGTATTTTGGGAATGGTGCAGATCAGAACATCTCAAAGTGTAGTCCTCATCAGACGCCTCGTGTCAGAAACACCTAAAAAGCTTGTTTAAAAAAAACAGATTCCTGAGTCCCACCTCATATCTGCAGATCAGAAGCTCCAGAGCAGGGCCCAGGAATCTACATTTTTGTAAGCCTCCCCTCCACCCAGCAACGTGGGTTATGCACAGCGATGTTGGACAACCACAGGAGTTGTGGAAAATGCACTGGGTTTGGCTTGGGCTCAAACTCCAGGTTTGCCAAGTAACTCACTATATAACATTGGTGGTTGTCCCTTAATCTCTGATCCTGTCCTCAGCAGTGAGGTGAGGGTTACCTGAGACAAGCCTTGTAAGGCACCTAACACAGAACAGAGAGATCACAACTATCTCAGCACCTAGGGCAGGGCCTAGAGCTGGGCAGGCCCTCAATAAAAATCCACTGAACGACAGGGCCGACAACGGGCCCTCAAAGACAGAACTCACCGCTGCCGTGTGGCCTCTGCGAAGAGCCGGGTGGGAGGGCTGCGGGGCCACAGCCGGCATAGGAGCAGGGGCAGCATGGCGGCAGGCGGGCAGCTGGTGAGATGAGGCCACAAAGAGTGCATTGGAACCAAACTTCAAGCACTTCGGGGCAGTGGGAAGTGGCCTGGCCCCATTTACTTGCGAAGGAAAACTGAAGCAGGCCCAGGGGACCAAGGGGCAGGTGGGACCTCCTTGCTCAAGACCAGACCCGTGTCCTGGACCTGTCCTACCCCTGACCCGGACCCTTCTTCACATTGGCCTCGGTGTCTGGACAACCAGGCCCCGGCGCGGAGACCCCCCCTGCCCCACTCAGGGAGCTAGGGGGGCAGACGAAGGAGGAGCCACACCAAGCCCCGCCCCCGCTGCACTTACGGCCTCCGCAGCTGCCGCCATTTCCTACGCTGATTCAGGCCCCACCCACACATTCTCATTGGCTTGGAAACCCAGGCCACGCCCACCGAACCGGAAAGTGCGATGAAGGCTCTGCCGGTAGTTCATTGGCCTTTGACGTCTCAGCCCGCCCACTGAGGCCCAGTACTTTGGACGCGCTGTAAGGCGCGTATCCGCCCGGGAAGCGGGGGGTACCAAACCTGATGTTCAGTGAGGTTTTTGGTGCAGCTGCCCTGGCTCTGTCCCGCGAACATGAATGTTCCTCCGCTTTGCAGCAAGACCCTTTTTTTTTTTTAAGATTTTTTTGGGGAATCGTGGGAGGGAGCAGCGTTGGGAAATCGGGGAAGGGGAACAGACAAGTTGCTGTCCTTTTGTTCTTCAGTCTAATTGCGGAGGATGTGGCTTCACTGGCCCATGTTGGTATTGTGATCATTGTGCTCTTCCCAGTTGAGGCAGATCGGTTCCTGGCCATTGGATAGCCGCTCACAGCGGCTCACGCTGGCTGCCGGCCACTCACAGTAGCTTAAGGCAGCCCCACTGCAACCTATGCCGTCTGCCGCAGCTCACCAGCAGCCCAGCTCCAGGTAGAGCTGTTCACCATCTTAGCTGTAGAGGGCGCAGCGTCACTGACCCATGTGGGATCCGGACCAGCGCCCTGCTGCTCAGAGCTCGCCCTGCTGCTCAGAGCTCGCGCTCCCAAGCTAACTCTTAACCAACAAGCCACTTGGCCAGCCCACGAGACACTTTTCACACAGCCGCTTCCACCCTATAGTCGACCTGGACCCTCCCCAGAGCCTGGCAAGAGGGCATGGCTCTCATCCCAGCTTGCACAGGGGATAACTGAGGTTGGGCTTTTTTTCCCAAGTCACTTGTCCTGTGTCTCACCCACCCTGGGCTCTCCCAGCGGTCCCACTCTGTCTCACAGAAACAGTAGATGCCAGCCGTATCCAAGAATAAAGTCCTTTATTATCTTTCATGCTGTGGTGATAGGGCTGGGGACCCTAGAGCAACTCAGATGGGGCTTCCCTGGACCTGGTTGTAGAGGAAGATGGCGCCTTTGGCCGAGGGGCAGAACTCGGCCCACATTTCGGTCTCCTGCAACCTCGATATGCTCTGTGGAGAGAGTGAGATCCAGATATCCAGCCTTCAGGTCTCTTGCAGGAGCTGTGCCCAGAGTTCCTGAGACTCAGAGCCCTCTGCACTGCATGGTCCCTAGGGATACACGTTATGGGGGCTGAGCAACTCCCTGGCTCTCTCCCTTGGGCTGCGGGCATCTCCATTGAGGCTTTGTGGCTCCAGAGGAAAGCTCAGAGATTTGGGAGCCCTGTCTGATCCAGCCCTCAGAGACAGACATGTATCACCAGGCCTCTGCAAGTTCCAACCTCAGCTCCTTTTCTAAGCAAGACTCTGCCACCTCGCACCTGTGTCTCCATAAAGATGATTCCCGTGGACTCGTGGGCCTCAGGTCCCCCACTCCTGTAGTATTTCCTCACCTGCTCAGAAGTCAGGCTGCACCTGGACAAGAACATGAGAGAGGCTGGTGGGTGCCCAGCCCCTGGAGGGTCCTTTTGGAGCCCCATCTGCCTCAGCCATGCCCCTCAACCACCCACCTAACCCAGGAACCAGGACCCTGTCCCTCAGAGCTCACTCACTGGACGTAGAACTCAGCACTGGCACGGCCGGCACTGGTCTCATTGCGGGCAATGCCCAGTAACAGCGGCTGGCTCAGGGTGAGCAGTGGCAGGTTCACCTGGGGCCAGGGATTCCACTTGTCAGTGCCCACTGCCCACATCTCTGCCCCTCTCAATAGAGAACAGAGTATGCATTACCCTTGTACATCATTTTACAGTTTGTAGCTCAAATGCTCAGAATCACAGGATGTCAGATCTTGGGCATGTTCATTTTACAGATGGGAAAACTGGAACCGGAGAGACTGAACAATTTGCCCAGAGACACCCAGAGGGAGTCAATAAATCTACTCCCATTTACTCCTCTTTTCAACAAACCTGGGGGAAATAGGCAAGACATTTATCATTGTTCCCATTGTAAAGAGGAAGAACATGAAGCATACAGAAGCGAGAGCTAGAGTTTCACTCCAAGTATGCCCAGCTGCAAAGCCAAGTTCTTTCCTCAATGCCACATGCCCGTAGACTCTCCCACCAGCCCAGACTGAGGTTGTGGAATTCTGGCATGTTCTACCACCTCCCTCCCGGCCCATCAGACTTTCCTGGCCACCCCTCACTCACCTCATCACAGATCTCCTGCAGGACACTGGAGAAAAGCTCATGCACCACCAGATCCCCAGGGAGGTCCTTGTGCAGGGGGCTGTCACCAGGGCACAGGGCCTGTGAGAGGTCAAGCTCAGCCCCTACTCCCCACCTATTCCCACCCTGCCTTCCTCCATACTTGTTGTCCCTGAGGGCCTGTTTGGGCAGAGTGTAAGAGTGTTGGGCGTTCCCCTGATCCTGGCCCTCTTTTTCCAGATGGACAAACAGATGTCCAGCTAGGTCCTCGCCCCCATTCCCCAGCTTCCCACAGGTCTGGGGTAGGGGGCAGTAGGGAGGCTGAAGAACAGAGACTTTCAGAAAAGCACCAGGCCAATTCCTCCTTTGAGGGATGAGGAAAACAAAGCTGAGCTGTCTGGGTCTTTGTACCTTTGCGCCCAGCCTGGCATCTCACCTGAGGCTCAGGGTGCCCACCAGGCACATCCACCAGCCCAGGTGCTTCAGCCACCTGACGGGAACGGCGCAGGAAGACAAGGAAGTCATCAGTGGTGGCCAATACAGCGCCCACCCCCAGTGGGTCTGCCAGGTAGGCTTGCTTATCACCCCAGTCGGCGGCTCCCTGCTGTCGCAGCCAGGCAGCTGAGCTGGCCCAGTTGGTGCCCAGGAAGTCTCGGTAAGAAGTAAGACCCAGGCGCAAGAGCAGCTGTGGCCCTGGTGAGTCAGTGGACACCAGGGTGGCAGAATGCAGGCGGAACTTGGGGGCATCGAAGAGCCAGGGCTGGGCCTGTAGCCGGCTCTCCCAGACGGCAGCGATGGCCTTGTCCCCTCCTGGCAGTGGGCGACGGTCGTGGGCTGGGCTCAGCTCAGCCCGTACCTGCTCCTTGGGCAGCCCACCGGGGGGGCACTGCAGCAGCAGGGATACCTCAGGGTCCATGGTCTGGACAGGGCAGCTCTGGGGGAGGTCACAGCCAGGCCAGTTACCCGGGGGACCCACAGCCACCCACAGACCTCCTGAGGATACCCCCAGCCCTTCTGCACTCCCGTGGGCAGTAAAGTGTCTCATCCAGCAAGAGCCAGAGACTCCTGCTGCCAGACATCCTTGGGATTCCAGGGCACGCCTAACACCCAGAGGTCCTGGGTCCAATCACCCCCTAATGCCCATGTCTCCCAAACCCAGGGGTCCTGCTTCCAACCCTGGACGCGCAGGGACCCCTACCAGGGTTCAGAAGCTCCAGCCTCCAGCTGGCACTCACCGCCAACTCAGCTCTCAGGCTCCGCCCCTTTCCCAGAGCGGAAGTGCCCGCCCCTCCTTCCTTGGCTTCTCATTGGCCGGTCCCGGCCCTCAGGAGCCCGCGGTGTCAGCTGCCCAGCAGTAGCAGTCGGTGAGCCTATCCGTTTGTCTTCCCCGTTTCTGCTGGGTCTGTCTTGGCCGGCCCTGACCTTCCGTCCGGTTAGCCTGAACGCCGGCCCCGCCTCCTCAGGCCCACCTCGTGGGGGCAGACCCGCGAGCCTGAAGCGTGGAGGCTCGGCTTCCCTGGGTTCCGCGTTTGACAGTGTGACCATGGGCAAGCCTTGCCTGCTGGGCCTCAGTTTCCCTATCTGCACTAAGGAGTTGGGGTGGGAAGTGAATTTAATGAACTGACTATCCCCCTCCCAACTCTCACATCTTGAGGCTTTGTGACTTTCTAGGCAAGGTGGAGACATGGAAGGGCCCTCAACGGTCCCCACATGTCACTGCTCCCCTCAGGTTTTGGCTATGAACTCTTCTGGAGGAAGGAAGCAGGAAGCAGCGAGGCCCAGGGGCAGAAGGGCTCACAGACGCCAGGAACAGGTGCACCCCACCCCCATGGCGGGAGGGCAGGGCTCCCTGGGAAATGCTGGTGAAGTGGGAGTGGGGGCTGATGGGTCATACTCTTCCCAGAGAGCACAGGGACTCCTCTCCCTCTGGTCTCCCCCTGCAGCAGGTCACTCAGAGTTCAGGGTGGGCAGCAGGGCAGGATCACCACAGGGACCAGGGGCCACCTCTGGGCTCTTGCAGGATGGAGATGTGCAACTGTCCAAGGCTCTGTCCTACGCCCTGCGCCATGGGGCCCTGAAGCTGGGGCTTCCCATGGGGGCTGGTAAGTGGAGGCTCTTGGAGTCTGGGGAGGGGAGGGGCTCAGGTGCAGGAAGCAGTGTGAGCCTGTCTGATTGCCCTCACCCATGGCCCCTACCACTGCCCTATGGGGACAACTCAGAGGGCACATCCTCCCACGTACAGGGAAGACCAAGGCCCCAAACCCAGTATCCCGTCCAGGGCAAACTGGGAGAGGAGGCTTTGTCCGAGCCAGGCTTGGTGCTGCCTCTCGCCCAGTGGCCCAATAAACACTCATCCCAAGGATGGGCACTGGGGGCGGGGGTGTTGGTGCTAATGAGGGCTTATTGAGTGTCCACTTCGGGCTGCGTATTGTACTAAAAAGGGTCATTTTATCTTTGTGGCCCTACATGAAGCAGATCCTATCTCCGTTGTCAGTTGAGGAAACAGGCCCAGAAAGGGGAGACTTTCTAAAGGTCACACAGATGAACCCTTGTGACCCACAGGCCCAGGCTCTGTTCTGGTTGCCTGTGGCTTGCCCTGTTGACTCTGGCCGAGGCCAGAGCAAGTTCAGCTCCTGGGCACCCTGCCTGCCCACAGATGGCTTCGTGCCCCTGGGTGCCCTCCTGCAGCTGCCCCAGTTCCACAGCTTCTCAGCTGAAGATGTGCAGCGCGTGGTGGACACCAGTGGGAAGCAGCGGTTCGCCCTGAAGCCAGGGGACCCCAGCACTGGCCCTCTCATCCGGGCCAATCAGGGTCACTCCCTGCAGGTGGGGCCCAGGAGACAAATGGGAGAGCCGGGTGGGACCCCTGCCTGTGAGGGAGGTCTCACTGCATTCCCCAACCCATGCTAGGTACCTGAGTTGGAACTGATGCCCCTCGAGACCCCGCAGGCCCTGCCCCTGATGCTTGTCCATGGCACATTCTGGCAGCACTGGCCCTCCATCCTGCTCAAGGGCCTGTCCTGCCGGGGAAGGACGCACATCCACCTGGCCCCAGGACTGCCTGGAGACCCTGGTGTCATCAGTGGTCAGTTCTCCCCTCCAGCTATTCCCACCCACTCTGTCCTCCCAGGGCCCCCTCCAAGGGTCCTAGCCTCTTTTGTCCAAGACCACCCCATACCCTGCATGCAGAAGCACCCCCTTCTCCCCACTGAGCCCAGGATGCCAGCCTGCCCAGGTTTGATAACTGCAACCCCAGACACCCCAGGCCCCAACACCAGTTGTCTCCGCAGGCATGCGGCCAAATTGTGAAGTGGCTGTGTTTATCAATGGGCCCCTGGCCCTGGCAGGTGAGTCTGGACTTAGCAGGGACTGCTCTAGGCCTGCAGAGAGGGCACGAGTCACATCTCTGGCTCTGTCTCCAGATGGAATTCCCTTCTTCCGTTCTGCCAATGGAGTGATCCTGACTCCAGGGAATACTGATGGCTTCCTGCTTCCCAAGTACTTCAAGGAGGCCCTGCAGCTACGCCCTACCCGTGAGAACCACCACTCCACCCCTATTCTTTGTGCCTGAAGCCTGTGCCCTCTGCCCTTCACTTCTTTCCCAGCTCCCAACCCCAGGCTGACTTAGGTCTCCCGCTCTTTAATCATCTCATCTCTATCTCAGGAAAACCCCTCTCCTTGTCTGGTAATGAAGAGACAGAGTGTCAGAGTGGCCCCAAGCACAGCTCCAGAGGAAGAAGGACGATCCAACAATAAAATATTTATTAAAAAAAAAAGATAACAAAAAGGAAATTCCAGTTTGAAACCATGAATCACCTGGTAGCTACAGCTGGTCTTTCTCATATGCTCAGGGACTATAACTAGGTCAGAGGTGTTGGTCTCGGCTACCCAGACAAGGGAAGGGCGGTCACTGTAGAACTCAGTGGGCTCTACAGAATGCCTGTGGGACACAGAGTTAGGCCCAGCCAGGTCCCTGGTCTGCACAAAGCCAGTGACAGTGGGTGGATGTGCCCAGCTCGGTGCATGTCTGAAGAGGGTGTGGGCAGTGAGTCCCAGTGCGTGTGGGCTTACGAGTGGCCATGGCAGGTGGTGAGCGGGACGGGGACAGTAAGACAAGCCTCAGAAGGCCTCATGGCCTCCTGTGAGCTGCAGGAAGAGGTCCTCATCCAGCTCCTCCCCATGAGATCGCTCCCGCGTTGACAGGAAAATGTAACCCCCAATGTACTCATGCACAATGCGGCAACTGGCAGACACACAGCTGAAAGCCACGTTGATATGCTCGTCAAACTCGATGGCCACCTGTAGGGCGGGCAGTCAGAGGGACTAGTGGGGGGTGGGATAAGGGTGCAGCCCCTGCCCTGTCCTGGCTGGGCCTGGCCCAGGCCCCTGACCCTACCCCCACCCTCACTCGGGGCCCACCTGCCGGATGTCCCAGTTGACATTCCACTGACGCATGTTGCTGAAGCGCCAGGTCTTGACCACGTCGCCCACAGCCAGGTCAATGCGGATGAGTCGGTTGTTGGCGATGCCCAGGATCTCATCTTTCCTGCTGCCCTTGAACCTGGTCCCCAGGGGGACAGAGTGTGAGCAAGAGTCCCACCCTGTGTGGCCCCAGAGCCCACCCAGACAGCCTGGTGCAGTGCTCAGGAGCAAGTTATACAAGTAAGTTATTTAGGTTTTCTGGGCCTGAAGTCCTTTATCTGGAAAATGGGGCTTAATTGATATAATCATTATAATAGTGTTTAGCAGCACCAGGCAAATAGTCCGCGCCTTTAAATAACAACTTGTTTGGTACCATCTTCATCCATTGCCTCACTCATATCCTTGCAGGCTTGGAAAATGGGCAAATGGAGGCACTCCCTATCACAGCAGCCAACGTTGGCCCTGTCCCGCAGACCAGCTAACCGAGGCCCAGAGAGGGAATGGTCCGTCAGACAGCTGGGTGTCCTGCTCTCCTGGCCTGATATCCCTGTCTGTTGTGTTTGCTGTGGGGATACGGGGTGGGGGTAAGGGGGCACGTGGGGTGCCCTCAGTAAGGTCTGCCCACAGAAAACAGGAAGAGAGGCTTCAGGGTGCCGCCCACCAGGCAGCAGGTGAGGGCAGAGCAGACCGAGGTGGCATTCATACCTGACCAAGACATAGGAGATGCCGAAGTCGGGAAGGGACTGCCAGGCCTGGATGAAGCGCAGCTGGGCCTCAGACAGCGAGAGTTGGGCCACGTTCTGGTGGGCTTCCAGGATCCGGGGGGTGAGCTGCAGGATCACACTGGTGAGGGGCTGCCAAAGACCCTGAGACCCGATGCCCGCCCCCCTCAGGGAGACAGGATGCTGAGCCTGGGGCAGGGCCAGTGCCCATGGTGGGGCCACCACAGTGCACCCTCTCACCAGTCAACAAATATGAGCTGAGCCAGGCCCTGAGGTGGACATGGGCAGCTGGACTGTGGTCCCCTCCCAGAGGGAGGGGACCAGCATACTCAGTCTGAGGGATATGGTGGGAGAAGAAACAAGTGAGCACCTGGCTTTCCAGAAGAAGGCTCTGTGGAGATCCAGGGGCTAAGGGTGGCCAGGTAAATGCTGTGATCATTCCCACCACCCACTCCCTCTGGCACCTGTTTGGCCTTGAACTTTCGCTGGAAGCGGGGGGCAACAAGGCCATAGGGGTTGAGGCCCTCAGGGGAGGCATCAGGCCCCTGGGGGTGGTTGGCTGAGCCTCCACCACCTGTCCGCTGCAGGCTGAGGAAGGCCAGAATGGCCTGCACCTCACTGGAGTAGCTGCTGTCCGCCATGGTGCGGCCCTTGGAGGCCAGTCGGCAGCCGGCCATCCACTGGGCATACTGCTGCTCCTGGGGTAGGAGGACAGGGGAGGGTGGTGAGGGACTAGCCAGGCTCTGATTCAGCCCCTGCCCTAGACCCCACCCCTACTCCAGCCTCAGCCCAGCCCTGGCCCCTGCCCAGCCCTTACATCCTGGCACCGCAAGTAGATCTCACTCATGCCCTCAGGGGAAGGCACCAGGAGTTTGATGCAGAATTTCTGGCCTGAGACATTGACGTCAGGGACCACCTCACAGCCTGGAGGGAGAGGAAGGAGGGGGCTAGAAGGCTGCAGAGGGGCAGCCCTGCCTGAGAGGCTCCTGGGCAAATGACAGCCCTGCACAGCTGGCTCAGGACAGAGGGCGTCTTCCCTGGCTCCCAGGATGAAACTGAGGTGAGACCATTCATCTGACCAGCCCACAGCCCTGCCCTTGTCCCTGTCCTGCCCAGGCCGCCCTCACTCACCCTTGAGGTTGAGCTGCTGAATGGGGTCACCAGGGGCCTCATCCTGGCTCTTGTAGTAGGACAGCGTGGTCTCCTTGAACACCACCCAGTGCTGGCGGTACCCCTTCAGGGTCAGCTTCCGGGGCCTGAGGGTGAGGCGGGAGGTGGTGACAGGCCACCTAGAAAGTTCTCCCCCCTCTGCTCCCTCTCCACACTGGGCCCCTACCGCAGAGCTGGCAACTCTGTGCCCAAACTCACCGGAAGATCCGGAGATGGTCCTTGAGCTCTGGGATGGTGGTGAGGCTGTCCTGGGGAGAAAAGGAGTCAGACGGGGGCCCGGTCCCTGTGCTTAGCCCTGACTGCAACCCCTGACCAGCGCCCCTCCTCACCAGCACGTCTGTGGCTGCTGATCCCTCCAGCTTCACCTCCAGATTGCTTAGGGCTGCGTCCAGGTCCTCGAGCCCCGGGTCTGTGCCGGCTGGTTCACCCACCTCCCCGCTCTGGGACAGCTTGTTGATGTGGTACTGGGTGGGGCACATGGCCAGGGAGGGCTCAGTGGGCAGTCCATTCGTCCGACCATGCCCTGAGCAGGGCTTCCCCGGAGATGGGGCCCCACTCTGGAAGACCCTTCCCGCCCCGGGACTAGCCTGCGCCCCAGCCACCCCGGGCCCCCAGGCCTGCCTGGCACCTGCAGGGCTGCAAACACCATCATCTCCTCCTCAGTGCAGTCACTCTCCTCTAGCAGCAGGTCCCACCGAGCCTGCTCATACAGCTGGGTCAGCCGCACGGGGTCTGTCTGGAGCAGTGGGCGGGGGGAGGAGAGGCTGGGTTGGTCAGGTGCCAACTGTCCTGAGCACCCCGTGTGCCCGGTCCCTGCGAACGAGCCTTGGCCCTTAGCCCTGTCCTTCATACTGTGGCAAGCTCGTTTAGTGGCCCTACATGGTCAGAAGACCCCAATCCCAGCCTGCCAGCCCCATCTGTCTAGGAAAGTGGCACCTTTTTCTCTCTAAGCCTTTTTGTACAGATGTTGACTATATGTCTATTGTGCACCCCACCTGCTGCTGAGGGCAACAGGAGAACTGAGTAAACCAATAAAAAATTAGTACAGTGATTCGAGAGTGCAATAAAAGCTATAAAGGCAATAGCTGCTGGGGCAACTCACTCATGCCCTCAGGCAAGGACACCACAAGTTTGATGGTGATGACAGAGAATGGAACTGGGTTGCAGGGGGCTACTCTACATGAGGAAGCATTTAGGGAAGGCTTCCCTCAGGAGGTGACTTGCTGTGCTGAGGCCTGAAGGATGACAATGGACCACAGGAAGAACATTCCAGAGAGGCTGAACAGGGAGTGCAAAGCTCAAAGGCGGATCCTAGTTACCCACAGAAGACCAAGCCTATGCTCCCTCTGAAACCCACTAAAATTGATAGCAAAGGCATAAAAAAGGTAAACCCAAAAAGGACAAGGAAGAGACAAGGGACTAGAGCAGGTGAGAGATGCCAACAACATTTTGGAAGATGGAAAGCAAAAACGTGAGTGGGAATGGAGTTGCAGGGAGACAGAGTTGGGATCTCACACTGTTCTCCCTCTCTTGTTCTCTGATAAAGGCACTAATGAGTTTTGAAAATAGGTAGAAAGCAAACAACAAGAAGAACAAAAATCTGGATAAAGGCATCCAGTTCACATGCAAACTCCTGGACAGGCTTCCGGCCTGGGATTCCCGGGCTGAGAGGTGAGGGTGGGCTGAAATGAGGACTGTAGAAAGTCTATAAAAGAAGCAGGTCCCTCCCTACTCCCTACAACCAAAGGACAGCCAGTTAGCACCTGGCAGAAGCCAGAGATTTACTGAGATGCTGAGCTAGAGGTACCCCAAATTGGTACTCGAGGCACAGTTGGACATGTGAGGGGGTGCAAGGTGCTGAGAACAGATGAATTAAGAGGAGGCATTCTGAGAGGTCAGACACCCCAGCTGTTCTTCACTTGCCACCCAAGACATTGTCAGTGAGCCTCCTATGCCCAGTCGGGAGATCAGAAGTTTCACTGCTGAGAAACTGACGAACCAAAGAGAAATCCCCTCAGGAGAGTGACATCCCTGCCCTAGCACCCCCAGGAGGCCCCCAAAAGGCCAAGCTCTATTCATCCACTCAGGGTTTTCAGTTGGCTTTTTAGAGCCTTACTTGTAAATACAAAAGGTCCATCAAGGGTTGCCCACATTTAAGGAACGCTGCTAGCATGAACTACAGAGAGCAAGACAAACAGGAGAAAAAAAAAAAAAAGCTTGGAGGAAATAAAGACAATGTAGGGAGCAGAAGAAAACTTCCAATACTAGTGAAAATCCTTATGGAGACAAAATACTGCACTCATAAAATGAGAACAGGATGCTATTTTTTTTGTTTTTTTGTTTTTAGCTGAGCCATCCTGCTGCCTATTGGCAGCTCAGCTTGGGCCGGGACTCGAACCACTGTTGCTCAGAGCTCACACTCTTGAGCGAGCTCTTAACCAACTGAGCCACTCGGCTGGCCCCCAGAATGCTATTTTTTAAAGAAATAATTATAAAGTTAAATTT